CGTTTTGACAGCTACATTACTCACCACCAGCAGCAGCATGACTAGGACATCGCTTGGTTCAATGCTCAGTTTACTACGCTAGCTGGCTACTTTCAGCAGCCACCTCCACTACCTCCATCTGATGATCATGATCCCTCGTTTTTCTAGTTTTTTGTTTTCTGTTTTTTGTAGTTTCTTTTAGTTTCTGTTGTGTTTTTTCCTTTTTTTTGTGTCTAGGACCCTCTTTTTGTGATGACAAAAGGGGGAGTAGGATGTGGTAGGAAAAGTTGATGCTTGTAACTTTGAAATTTTAATGAACTGCTGTTTTTTCTGAGATTTTCCTACTTATGTTTGCCATCATCAAAAGGGGGAGATTGTTACAAATCTATTTTTGGATTATGATTTTGATGATAGCAAACAAATCTTGCCTTTTTCTCTATTGACTTTTCAGGACCCAAAGATCGGACGAAAATCAGAATCAGCTCAAGATGAGGTAGATTAGGGTTGAGTCAGTCTGTAATTTTATTTTTTCCCTCTTGAGTCAATTGTAATCTTTGGTGTGACTAATGCTAAGTAACTTTACACACACACACTTGAGAGACTTAGAATTTCTGTTTTTACTCACATCGGCTAGGATGATATTTGGATCGTCATGGACGATCGAGTTTAAAACAGAGATTCTATTCAGGATTCTTAATTAAGGCAGCCGTCATTAACTGATCGTCCTGGACGATACTTGTATCGACCAGGATGATAAGCTCAAAACAGAAAGAAATAGCCGCCTTATTCGTTTTAGGTATATTGTATTTTTGGAAATCAGCCAGGACGATATTGTATCGGCCTTGACGATAATACACAATTATGACTAAATTGAACCAGTAATCAAGGAAGTAATTAAGGATGATTGATACGATCATATCATCCTGGACGATCGCAGGATCGGCCATGACGATCCATTCAAAAACCTTAGTTACTTCTGGACGATAAATATTGGCCAGCACAAATTTATGGCGATGTGCTGGACGATCTCGATCGGACAGCTTAAATTCAGAGCGATGCTCTTGACGATTTTTCTCTGATTTGAACTGATCGGTCTGGACGATCGTGAGATCGGCCTGGACGATCAAGCCAATTTTCAATCGTCCAGTTTGCATTCAGGGCGATGCTCTGGCCAATCTCATGAAATTTGTACTGAACGTCCAGGACGATTTCCATATCGTCATAGACGATATAGTCGGCAACTTGCAATTAATGAGCTCCATTGAAGCTCTTCTATTTAAGAGATCTTGTTCAATGTTTTGAACATCTTTTGCTGCTGCCTTGACCTGAGAAGATCTTGAGGAGAGAAAGAGAGAGAGAGAGAGAGAGAGAGAGAGAGAGAGAGAGGATTTTGTGAGGGGGAGCTTGTGAGGGTATTCACAAGGGTTGCGTCAAGGATCACTCTACTTCTTCTTCGTCTAGAGTTTCTCGTCCGTGGAAGGGTCGGTAGAGGTAAGGATTCAGCAACTAATAGTGGTTCTCTACCAGCTTCAGGAGGAAGCAAAAGGAGATAGGTTCTCTGCATTGTTGGGGTGGAAAAAAGAGGTTCTTTGTAAAGGCTTCTCCGCCTAGCTATGGGGGCTAAAGGAGAGTCACGATTGTAGTGCATTACTCGGAGGGCACCTCCGGAAGTGGACATAGGTCGAGTTGACCGAACCACTATAAATTTTTGTGTTCTTGTTTCCTGCTTTCGCACTTTAATTTCCGCACTTATTTTTCTTGTGGTGTGATTTTGGTTTATGTGATTTTACTTCTTTGTGAAAATAATTTTTTAAAATACCAAAACCCCCCCCCCCCCCCCCCCGCCTCTTGGTTAGCTTGGGCCAGTTCTATAGGGCTTAACATCCCTAACGAACTTTCACCAAGGTCCTTAACAAATTACCTATACTCCTATTAACCACTTTAGTTTGGCCATCAGTTTGAGGATGAAAGGCTATGGAGAAATGTAACTTAGTGCTCATTTTAATCCATAGAGTTTTCCAAAATTAACTTGTGAACTTGGCATCACTATAAGATACAATGGTCTTAGGTGATCCATGTAATCTGATGATCTTATTGAAGTATAACTTGGCAATATAAGAAGCATCAGACATCTTGGAAAAGGGTATAAAATGGGTCATTTTGAAAAAACGATCAACTACAACACATATGGCATCATTCCTACGGAATATTTTGGGTAATCCTAGGACGAAGTCCATGCTAACATCTTGCTATGGACAACTGGGAACAGGTAAAGGAATGTATAGACCAGTGTTTTGTTTGCGTTGCTTAGCTAGTTGGCAAGTGTGGCACCTACTGACCATTTCACCAATGCCCCTCTTCAGACTGGGCCAGAAGAAGCGGTGCTCTACGGCTTCTATAGTCTTATCATGACTGAAGTGCACAGCGACACCTCTAGGGTGGAGTTCCCAAACAAGGAATTCCTGAAGTGAAGTACTAGGGATACAAAGCTTTTGAGCTTTAAAAAGGTATCCATCTTCAAGGAGAAAATCATGTACAAGGTGTGTGCTGCTTCTGAACAAAAGAGAATAAGTCTCCATAAAATCAGGGCATTCCAAATAGCTTTCTTTGATTTGTTCCAACCCTATGACTTTGATTTTCATCTCGATTGACATCATCATACGACGACTGAGAGCATCGGCAGCTTTATTCTCAACTCCCACCTTGTGCCTAATGGTATAAGTGTATTCTTGTAAAAATCTACCCAACGCACATTTAACTTCTTTTGGGAGTTGATGTAACACCGAGCCTCGTGATCCGAGAAGATAACAAACTCTTGCGAAAGCAAGTAGTATCGCCAAAAATGAAAGGATTTGATCACAACATAGAATTCTTTATCATACATGGAATAGTGTTACCGGATGTCCTTTAGCTTCTCGTTAAAATAAGAAACAGAGTGACCTTCCTAGGACAGGACTCCTCAAATTCCGACCCCCGAAGCATCGCAGGTAACTTCGAAAACTTTGGAGAAGTCAGGAAGCCTCATCACTGGGGCTTCCAATATTCTTTTCTTAATTTCTTCAAAGGCTTTGGTGGCAGCCGGGGTCCAATGGAAATCACCTTTCTTGAGACAATCAATGATAGAAGATACAACAGTGCTAAAGTTTAGAATGAATCTACTATAAAAGGTGGCTAAACCGTGGAAGCTGCGAAATTCCCAAATGTTCTGAGAAACAGGTCATTCTATAATGCTTTCACCTTCTCAGGGTCTACAAAGACCCCTTGAGCTAAAACAATAAAGCCTAGAAAGATAACACATTCAAGAAGGAAGGTGCACTTCTTAGGATTTGCATAAAGTTGCTCGTTCCTTAAGACTTCACAAACCTCCCTTAAGTGGTTTAAGTGATGACTCACAGAATGACTATAGATAAGGATGTCATCAAAGTAGACAATGACAAACTTGCCCATGAAAGGGCGTTACACTTGGGTCATGATCCTCATGAAAGTACTCGGGGTATTACTCAACCCGAATGGCATGACTATCCACTCATATAGAACATTATTGGTCTTAAAGGTAATTTTCCACTCATTACCTGGTCGAATCCGGATCTGGTAGTACCCACTCTTAAGGTCAATTTTGGAAAATATAGTGGCTCCCATCATCATATCAAGCATATCTTCTAACATCGGAATAAGAAAATGGTATTTGACGGTGATCTTATTGATAGCACGACCATCAACACACATTCAATAGGAACCATCATTCTTCGGTGTAAGAAGGGCTAGGACGACACAAGGGCTAAGACTTTCCTTGATAAAGCCTTATTGCAGTTGCTTATCCACTTGCTTCTTAAGCTTAACATGTTCCCTGGTGTTCATGTGATAGTGGGGCAGATTGGGTGGGGAGGCTCCAGGGACAAGATCTATAGCATGTAATGTCTCTAAGTGGAGGTAATTGATCAGGAAGATCATCAGGGAAAATATCAATAAAGTTACTTAGTATGGGTTGGACCTTTTGAGGGATAGGCTTATCAGATTCAATGGGAGTCTCATGACCGACTAAGGCATATAGCGATGCACCTTGGGCTAATTCAGAATCCAAAACCTTGGCAATCACAAGGTTCTGCCCCTTTTTAGTTTTGACAGGATTAGGTTTAGGATCATCCTTAAACTGGGCAACGATGAAAAAAGTTTAATCTTTTTGCCTGCATGTTAAAACATGAAGGTGTTTGAACACCCATAGATGTGGACATCATTATCAAATATCCAAGAATGGCCTATTTATCCAACATCCATAATCAACACATCACACAAAAAATTCTCCTTATAATCAGCAGAGAAGATAGATACGAGACTTCGTTCCTTCACCTCCAAGGTAGTGGAGTTGACCCAAGCTATCTTATATGGGTTGTGGTGAGGAATATAAGACAGACTGAGTTTAGACACCATGCTGAAGGAGACAACATTGATGCAACTGCCACTATGACTTTACAGTTCTTATCCTTTATTTTGGTGTAGGTGTGAAAGATTACAGTCCTACACCAGACATCAGTGAAAGTAGGTTGTGATAGTGTGCATCTCACCACGAAGATGGGAGAGGTGTTTATTTTCTGTATACAGTTGATGACAACAGTGTTGTCATCCTCCTCAAAGAATTCACCATCGTCTTCCACTTAATGAAACTGGTCGGCCTCAGGTTCAGATTTTTCCTCAGTGATCTCCTGAATAATAGTGACTTTATAGGGGCTAGAACACTGAGAAGAGATATGCCCATACCCCTAGAAACAAAAGTATTTGGTCCCTGGGTGGAACCTAGGGGTATCTGGGGTAGGAAACTTGATTCTAAAGTTGGGATGAGGTGTGGAATGGCTAGAAGGTGGTCGGGTTGGGGTAGGCCGAGCACTGGGTTAAGGAGTGGAACTACGGGAAGGTCAGTAGGAAGGTCTTAAGTCTTGGTGTAGACTCGCGTGTTGGGGACGGGTTTCCTCAAGGTCTAACACTTGGATGTAGGCATTTCTAGGGTAGTAACATTCCGAGCAAACAGTCCATTGCGTAGATCCTCACGCAACCTAGTACGAAACATGGACAGTATTTGGGCGGGGGTAGTAGAGGTATCCCCCTTGTAGTGAATTAGGTTATCATTGAAAGCTGCAATGTAGTCCATTACGGGCATACTACCTTGGGTGAGCCTATTCTATTTATCAAGTAGCCTAGGGAAGTACGAGAGAGGTAAGTACTTCTTCTTGACCTCGCGCTTCATCGAAGACCAATCAGTGATGGGATACTCATTTCAGGATTCTCTAAAGCTCTCTAGATTTGACCAAAATTGACTAGCCATACCAGTGAGTTTTCATTTTAACGAATCAAACTTTTCTATCCTCGGAGATGTTGTACCATTTAAAGAAATTATACATACCCTTAATACAATCTAAAAAGAGCTAGGGATCGAGGGTACCATCAAAGGTTGGAGCAACAACCTTGATATTTTTCACCAGTGGAATATCTGGGTCAAGGTTATGGTCTTGTCCATATTAGGGGGGTCAATAAGGGGCACGAGGTGGTCCCTCATCTAGAAAAGTATCATCCCCGTAAATGGAAGGAGGTCTAGATGGAGCGTAAGGGATAAGGTAGTGCCTACCATGATCTAGGGTATCGAATCATTCAATTGTATTTCTACAGAGTTCAGCTTTGTGAGGTTGGTTCTCTTTAAGTTATTGTCAAATGGTGTTCATTTGACCTACCAACTGAGCTAGAGTCCTGTGAAGTTATTCCCGGTCCATCCTAATGTCAGGAGTGACTCAAAACTATGCAAAAGTGAAAGAAATTAATATGTAAACCAGTAAATGAAAAAAAAAAGTGCGGGATGCAATTTAGATGCTAAACATGTAAGAAAATTTTTCCTAATAGGCACCTAAATAGAACCATGCTCTGATACCAAATGATGGAGGACTGAAATGCCTAAGCGATGTTAGAAAAGAACCTTGCACAATTTAATTTAGATAGCTTTATTAACTAAAATACTTGTAATTATTAAACGATGAAATAATACAAGAGAGAGATGATACTAGCTTAGTCCAAGTCACACAACTAGAAGTTAGGATCACAAAATAATCAATGATTCAAAACATAACATACATAGATAACAATGAGATTATTCTCTATGAATAGTTCTTCAATCACTTTCTAGATTACTAGGCTCAGCAGAGATACTTAACACGACCTTAATTAATCAATTAAAACCACAGGTTGTGGTAGGAGTCAGATAGGAAAAGATTTAGGGGAAAGATTCACCTTGCTTAGGATTTGGAGACAATTTGCTATTGGACGGAAGACAGTTGCTCGTCAATAGCTTCAGCGAGGGTCAAGACGACCCTTTCCACGTAGGCTTCTGCAATTTGGTAAAATTCAAGGTTAAGGTCGAACAATGGTGAGTTGAGAATGTCGATGTGGCCTTAGTCATTGTAAATAAATTTGTGATCAAGTTCCTGAGCCGCCATGCATGGGTGGAGAGGTTTGAAAGGTGGGGGAGGGGAAGTGGTGTGATCACTTCTCTCTTCCTTCCTTAGGTGAAGCTTCAAGTCGAGAATAGAGGTGGCAAGGAGAAGGTGGGTGGTTGGCCAAGACTAGGGGAAGAAGCTTCTTCCAAAAATCTGAAATAGAATTTCAGATTTGAGTGAGAAGGGAATAGGGTTTGAAATTTGAATTCCAAGTAAGGGAAAAAAGGGAAAATTACTCCTTAATGAGAAACTAAATTGATGTCCCTAAAAGGAGAGGAGTTAATGTGAGAGGGAGAGGGTAGACCGGTCGGCTTTGTGGGGGTGGTGTTGGTTCGGTCGAGGAGAGGAAGTGGGAGGGGATGCCGGCGGTTGATGAATGGAAGGAGGGGTAAGCTGGCGGTTTAAAGGGGAGAAGAGAAACGAGGGAGGAGAAGGCGAAGATCGACCACGAATCCAGACGCTTCCTGCGATTGGTGGGTATTATGATGCCCTCACCTAGGGACTTCAATCTTCAAGAGCTCACAAACTCTCCCAAAAACACACAAGAATAGAAATTTTGATGTAATATTATTCATTATCCTCCAAGAAGATGGAGGTGGCCTTTAAATAGCCTCATTATAATGAAAGAAAACAAAAGACCAACTTGCCCTTAGGGCTTACAGATGACTATCCTTCAAATTAGGGTATAAATGGAAAATGCAATAATAACTTATAACATAAAATAAACTAATTCAAATAATTCTAAAACAATGAAGATAAAAAAATAAAGCGGTGCAATCGTGGTCATACATCGATGGTCACGCCTCTGGTAGACCCTCCATGGTCGAATTTTCTCGTCATTTTTGGTTTTCCCTTGTTAAATTGACTTTGACCAGCACCTTCATCCACGAAACCATTGATATGCTCCTCATGCAACTTCAAGTTTTCCTATTTTCTCAATTAGCATCTTTGTGGTTCACTCACTGCCTATCGGATCTGTCATTTTCATCATTAAATATGGCATTGCTATCACCAAGTCTCATTTTACTAGACACCTTGTTGTGTGCTCCACACATACTTGATGTCAGTTCCTACTTTAGGAATTCATGCTAGAATTTTGCATTTCTCGTTGCTTATTCGGTCACACTATTATCTTCAAATTACAAACTCAAGTTAGCATATACCACTTTGAGTTTGTGCTAGAATATTATCATATCAATAATATCACATGTATTAAATATTTATATATAGAAGGAATCTGATGTAGTTATTATTGTAATATATCCTTATTATTAATGCTATTATGTTTTCTTATATTTTTAATTATTATTCTATTCTCTTGCCCATAAATAAACATGCTTCGACTAGATCAATTATCAATTTAGTAATGATGTAGCCTTCTTATGTTTTCCAACCAAAAATCCTTATATGAGGACAATCCAAAAATATATATTGGTGTTATCATTCCATAAATTATAATCACCATTCCAAAAGGATGTCTATACCAAGAATACTTCCATTCATCTGAAGTTGCCTATTTATTTAATTAAATCATCAAGCAAACTCACAAACTCAGATCAAATGAAAAAAAAAAAAAAAACCCACTATAATGATCCAGTCCAACGCATTGTCACATTGTTAAAGTTGCATGGTGAAAGTTAAAGCAACATGATCAACAACATAGACACAAAGTGAGCACAAAAAATTGTTTCACCATTTGAAGATACTTCGACAAAAAGCAGTACCAGTAAGCTTACTGGGTTAGGTGAACAGAAAAGCTCAGTACTTACGTAAAAAATTTAGATGCAAAAAATAATAATTAAAACCTTAAATTCATATGAAGAACAGTGCAGAAGGCGATAAGAAATAGCTTTTAATCTTTATTTCACAGAAGAAAATGTAGAAGTTTTATTCTTCTACTTTTTTCTGATTCATTTTCACCATACAAATATTTTGTCAATGAAAAATATTATTAATAAGAAGCTTCACACCTAAAGCTGATTTTGGCCACTATTGCACTCCCATATAAAAGTTAACCAGCTCAACAGATTCACTAATAAGATAATAAATGGGCACTGCAAACCAAGGCCAGCCAAGCCCCAATGCTTTATTTTAGCTAGTAGCTTAGCCTAACACTATTCAACAGAAAAGAAAAATTACCTCAGAATGTTTTAATGAGTTGTTTCTCAAAATTAGCTTCAAATTTTTTAAATTTATGTTAACAATAATGTCTCATATAATATTAAATCTAAGAACTTTAAAATTTATTATAAAGTAAAATCTGTAATAATATCTGTACTTTTTTTTTCAAATGAATAGCCATTTACAATTTATCAGTAAATGTTTTCACTGTATTAGTAAAATTTTTCAACATATAAATACTCAGTACGATCAAATTAATGAATTTACCAACATTATTTCTCTGTGACAGAAGTATTTTCCTTCTCTTTTCAATTTTCATCAAGATAAAAAAACTACTTTACGACTTTGTTCATGAGGTGCATAAGCAAGATGCTGTCGGCAGTTCTTTAATGCAGAAAATAAAATCAAAGCAACATGTGGAAGATGATGCAGAGCTCCCACAGTGTTAAGAAGACTTTAAAAAGCTCACTTTTTATAGGAAAAAGTGAACAAGACAGGCCTAGTTTGCTTGCTACTTAGGCGATAGGCATTTCCTGCCATGAAACAGGACGAAATAATGGAGATCATTAAACCACTAGGAGAACTCAAAACACATAATTTAATGTCTCCGGACATGGATCAAATGCATGATGCTAACACTTTTTGTATTAGAAGATTCTCACGTATTTTTCATAGAAGAATTTGTCTTGTAAGTTATAACACGCTTCTGACTTTATAACATTGTAACGAGGCTTCGTTTCTGTGTAAATATTATTTAATTTCTTATAAATGTTTTTTTTTAATATTAGAAATTATCTTTATTTATTTATTAGATTTAAATAATAATTTGACTTTTAGTAGGACACTATATAGAAAAAATATTATGTAGCCGACCCCATCTGATGGGACAAGGATTTGATATTGTTGTTGTATAAATATTTTTTTTATTATTTTATTTTTTATTTCTTGAATGGATATTATTACACTCTTCGTCAAGAATGTAAAATAATATTTTAAATTTTAAATTAAAAAATTTAATGTATTTTTATAATAATTAAAAGATCATTACTTTTTTACATTCAAACGTACTTTATATTTGGGGGGTTTATGTGAAAATGAGTTTAAATAAGTGAAATTTTATATGTAAGACAGATTAAAATATTATATAAGTAAATATAAATTTTGATGCAAAACATATAAATACATAGCAATTCGGTAGTTTGTATATAAATTTTCATTTATTATGGAGAAAATTATTAAAACAGTTAAAATTCTACCAAATTACATTATTAAAAAAAGAAAGAAAATTGTCTAACCAGAAAATGATCGAGCTCCTTATCATCGCAGGTGAGGATCTGACCGCCGTGCTGTGCTCCAAGCGCAGAGTACTTAGCCACAACTTGCTGCAACTGCGCGAGCTGAGCGTCGATCCTCGGCAACTGATCTACCGGCGTGGCAATCCTCAGGCACGCCACGTGTGCCGACAACAGCTGCTCGCACAGCGGATGCCCTAATATCTCCGCCTTGTGTCTCGCGTTCTGCCACGTGCCCTCCACCGCCTGCTGGCCTCTCCCGCCGCCGGCCACAGTTTCTCCGTCGATGGCCACTGGATCAGGCATCACCGCCGCGATCATGGAATCGCTCGATACCGGAACCTCCTCCTCTCCGTTGAACAGCCGGTGTGGGACCCACTGGCCAGCTGCAACAGGGGAAGTAGAGGAATCGGAGGCGGTTTGGAGGTGGAGGAAGCTTCCATCCCCGAATTGCTGGGATTGCTGTCGGAGAATTGCGCCGTTGAGCCACGTGGGGCCGCCGGCGATGGTTCGTGGCGTCTTGCCCGCAACGTTTGAAGTGGTTCGGCCGATGAGTTCGGAGGCGATTGAGGGGATGGCGGCTGGGTTTTCAGCTAACCGATTTTCGGAGTACTGTGGAATGGTTAGCTCCTGTGCATGATGGCGGTGGTACGCCATCGTTCACCGTCTCACGTAATTCGGAACGCGAAAGAGACGACTTCTTTCCATTATATGCGAGCTTTTACTCTCTTCGACAATTAAAGTAGCTGGGAGACTCAACCGGGAACAAAACCGCTCTCGAAAATGTACCATGAAAAAGTAGTGTCATTTTTGCTGTGAGTCGGTTGTTTATTTATTAAGATCAAGCTAAATTTAGTGACTTGCGCTTCACTTGCCCCAGTATTTTATTTTTTTATCAAGAAATTTATATTAAGAACCTAATTTCAACAATAACTTTAAAAAATTCACTTTTTTTTAACAGCAGCTTTAAAAGCTATAAGAAAGCCGTCCCAAACGAAATCTTAGGGCTAATTTTTAGTTATATATTTATTATTTGTCTGTGATGATTGTAACTTTCTGTTAAAGTAATTGTAAAGATGTTATGAAGAAAGTAACTTTTTAAAAGTCTTCTTAGCACAAAAATTTCCTGAAAGCCATGAAAAAATAAGTGACCAAATGATAACTAGAATTACGTAAAGAAAAATAAAGCAGTAATAAATTTATTCTCAAACTTCATTTGTGACAGCTTTGTTTGTGCTTCTTAAATCAGCTTTCCAGTATAAAAATTAAAAAATTTTATCGATAAAGCTATTTTAAGAAGCAGTAAGAAAGTCGTCCATGCTTCATTTGGGACGGCTTTCATATCAGAAAGTTGTTTTTAGAAGTAGTAAGAAAGCCGTCATAAACGAAACCTGCTCATTATTTTTAAAATATATTAGATGGAAAAAACTTGATATGAGAATTTAAAATAGGTGATTAAATAAATAACTATTTATGATTAAATCAATATTTTATGTTGATGTTACAAAATCTTTATGTTTAACATTTTTTGAGAGAAAGAGAGAATTTTTTAAATATGCTACGCATGCAATTCTTATTTATTGACAAATAAAACATTTAAAATTTGATATTTATTTAAATAACATCAAATCTTTAAATCAGATAAAAATTATTTTTATATTATTTCTTTTTTAATTTTAAACATTTCATTTAATATATATGTTTGTTGTGATTGAAGATTATACTGTAATGTAAATATTAAAGTTATGTGATATATATGTAAAATCCATTAAGATTATTGTTAGAATAAAAGTGAAATATTTCAGTATTAATCTAAATTATAAATTTATAATATAATCAAATCTTCTGATAATTTATTCCAAATTCTTCATTAAAGATACATATGCAAATTTATTTTTATGAATATAGGAGCATACACAAATTTATATGAATGAGTACTAAGTTTTTCATTAAAGAAATAAGAAAATTTATTTTTAAATTATTCATTAATGTTTTATAAACTTGAGAAAAAAATAAAGTAGTAATAAAGTTATTCTAAATGTAGCTTTATGCTTCGTTTGGAACGACTTTATTTCTGCTTCTTAAAACAACTTTTTAGTATAAAAATTTAAATTTTTTATCTATAAAGCTATTTTAAGAAGCAGTAAGAAAGGCGTCTCAAACGAAGCCTTAAGCTTCGTTTTGGGATGGCTTTCTTACCAGAAAGCTGCTTTTAGAAGCCATAAGAAAGCGGTCTCAAACGAAGCCTGCTCATTATTTTTAAAATATATTAGTTAGAAGAAAGTTGGTATGAGAATTTAAGATAGGTGATTAAATAAATAAGTATGTATGATTAAATCAATATTTTATGTTGAAGTTACAAAATCTTTATGTTTAATATTTTTTTTGAGAGAGAAATTTTTAAATATGTTACGCATGCAATTCTTATTTATTGACTAAAAAAACATTTAAATTTTGATATATATTTTTTAAAATAATATCAAAACTTTAAATCATATAAAAATTATTTTTTTAATTTTAAACAATTCATTTCATATATATGCTTGTTGTGATTGAAGATTACACTGTCACGTAAATATTAAAGTTTAGTTGTTAGAATTATAAATATATAAAATTATGTGGTTTATATATAAAATCTATAAAGATTATTGTTAGAATAAAACTGAGATATTGCAGTATTACTCTAAATTATAAATTTATAATATAATCAAAACTTCTGATAATTTATTCCAAATTTTTCATTAAAAATCAAGGTTGTGAAAACAGGATCGGACAACGAACCAGTAGAGAGAGCGGTTCACAGATCGACTAGTAACCGGGGTCGAAACGGATGACGTAATAAATAAAATTTAGATGACATAAAAATATATTTTTTATTAAAAAATAAATTGAATTCACACATTACTAATATCTTATATAATTTTAAATTTAAACATATTCAACCTTTAAATTTAATTTAAATTTAATAAAAAAATAATTTACAAATGAATTAATAAGTTTAATATAAATAATTCTTAATTTATGTTATATATTTATATATAATTTATATATTAGATGCATATTATTATTTTACATTTATAAATTATTAAGGTTAAATTAAATTCATTTTATTATAAAATATAAAATATTAATTAATTAATATGTTATTAGTAATAAAATATAATGAAGAATATAATATTATTTAATTATTATTTCTCCAATAAAAAATTATTTAAAAATTAATATTTTAAAAATGAATAGTGTATGTTGTAATTAAAAGTAAAAAAAATGACATAATAGCTTTCTTAATTTTTTTTAGTCCTCACCATCAACTTGAGAGTCTTTATCTTGTAATTCTTTTTACTTTGTATTGACTTTTTGAGGGTTGAAATAAGTAGTACATCATATAAAAGATAAAACTTTATGAAGATGTTTTGGGTTAGAATGATTTTTTAAATTTATAAAATTAAACATTTCAAATTTGGAAATTCAAATTATAAAATATTTTTTTAATTATTTAAAAATAAGTTTATTTAAAAAATTAAAAAAATGCAAAAGTTTGAACAGGCGGTTCAAAACTGCCAGTTTTGTCCAGTTCTGGCCGGTTTGATGCAGAAGCCGGTTCTGAGCATGACTTGGAACCAGTTCAGATTGACCGGCCGGACCGGTCGTCGGTCGGTTTTTTAAAAAAACATTGTTAAAGAATACATATCGACATTTCATTTTTATGAATAGAGTGACGCATACAAAATTTATATGAAACGAGTACTAAATTTTTCATTAGAAATATGAATTTTTTTTTTAATTATTCATTAATGTTTATAAACTTGAGAAAAAAATTAGTTTTATGGACTATATTAAGATGATTGTCATAATTTTGAAGATTTTAGGTGTATTTTTTTTTAAAAGGAGTAGAAACCAAATTAATTTTAGAATTTGTAAAATATAGGGTGAGTATTAAACATTTTGTGATAAATATTATTTTTAACAGATTTTGAAAAATAAAAATAGAAAAAGATTTGCTGAAATAATAAATTATTATGTTTCATTTCAAATAAAAAATCAATTTGTATCAAAAAATAGCGCGTAGCTTTAATTAGGTACGTTGTAAATTAATAGACCTTTCTGCTCAGCATCTAATTAGAAAAAATGGGGACTCTGAAAAGTAATATGCACCTTCTTAGGCTTGGCATAGGGGTGTCAATTTCGGGTCACGGGTCAGGTTCGGGTCGGACCCGGAATTGACCCGGGTTCAAACGGGTTTGACGCCTACGCTGACCCGGGAAAGCTGATCGCGCTGGGTGAGGCGCGGGCAGTGCCTGTCGCGCGGGGTCACGCGACGAGGCGTGGTCGCTGTGGCAGCGGGGTGTGTCACGAAGCGATCAGGCGGGGCGGGTCGCGGCGGTGCGGGGTCGAGCGGCGGGGGCGTGGTCGCAAGGCGGCAGCAGCCGCCGGGGCAGGCAGCGGGGTCGCGGGCAGCAGCGCATGGCCGGGTCGCGTGCAGCAACGGCCAGTGGGGTCGCTGCAGCAGGGCGTGGTCGCGCGAGGGTTAGGTTAAAGCGGGTTCGCAGATTGACCCGGCAACCCGTCGGGTCAACCCTAACCCGACCCATTTAGAAATCGGGTCGGGTCCAACCCGGAATTTTTGGGTAGGGTCCAGGTCGGGTTTTCGTGTCGTGTCAAATATTGACACCCCTACTTGGCATGGGACAACTTTTATATTATTCCATGAAGGAATTTTCAGTAAAAATTTTTTAAAATTAAAATTTTTTATACTAAAAAATTACTTTATAAAGCAGTAAGAAAGTTGTCCTAAATAAAAACTTAAGCTTCAATTGAGACAACTTTCGTATTGCTTTCTAAAATGATTTTCTTGTATAAAATTTTATAATTCAAGAAATCTTGTTTTTTTTTTTTTTTAAGAATGATAAATTGCATAGATAATAGCAAAGAAAAAGCAGTCGTCTAAATACAAACTAGTGAGAATAAACTACCCTATCACATTCTTCCCTCACAATTTGAACAAAAGAAGGTGGTAGTTTACTCTCACAAAAAAAGTCCCAAAAAAATTCATAAGAAAAAGCTAAGTTAGCACAATAGTGAGCTAACTTATTACAATTACGACTAACATGATGGAAAAAAATGTTATTCCAATTCCCTACTAAGAAACAATCTTCATCTTCAATGCTTCCATCCACCTTCTTCTCTTTGCTATACACTTCATGAAGAAAATGGATCACTTTTTTATTGTCACCTTGTATTATAATACCATTAGCATCTAGCAATCTTCCCTTCAGCACATTCTTCTAAGAATTATATGTCAATAGCTTCAATTGAGCTATGTCCCAATGAACTCCATAGAAACTGAAAGCTAGAACAAATCTGCCTTTGTTGTCCCAAACAATGCCTCCAATTCCTGCTTCATAGTTCTCCTTGAGGGCAGCATCAATGTTTATCTTATACCATTCGGGAGGTGGGGGATGCCAGAAATTAAAAAATAGTCCAAATGACTGATTGTCATCCCAATGGTTCGAGAGTATAACATTTCTTTTCCCAATATTTACAAAGCTGAGAATACTATTAGATGTCAATGTTTCACTTGTCTCCACCTTTCCATGCTTGATCTTATTTCTGTTATTCGAAGAAAACCATAACAAAGAACAATAGATTCTATCCATCAACGGATTGGTTCTAGCCAATACTTCCAACTTACACCAACAGTCTTGGAAAGAATTGTATTTCGGAATCATAAACCCCCATTTCCTTAATACATCAATTACCTTTAACAGCTTGAGACATGAAGTGATGACATGATTGATATCTTCAACTTCTTCACAACCTCTAGG